AGGGCAAGCCTTCTATAGTGAATTATTATTCACGGAAAAAGAAGAGGATCAATGGTTTCTCGACAGTGGAGCAACTGACCATATGACAGGACATATGGAATGGTTTTGTGAGTACAAACAATTTGATTCACCAGCAAAAGTAACAATCGGGGATGGATCAGTTTTGTTGGCAGAAGGTTCTGGGAGAATTAATATATCTTGCCAAGTTAAAAACAAAACGTACAAAAATTATTTATCAAATGTGTTGTATGTAAAAGACTTAAAGTTTAATTTATTTAGTTGTGGTGCAGCACTAGATAAGGGATTAATAATGAAGTCTGACAGTAAAATGTGCGTTTTCTTGAAGAATAACAAAGTTGTTTGCGAAGGTAAACGCAACAACGGTTTATATCATTTAAAAATAAAAGTATTGCAGGTTTCTACAGACGTGACATTGACGGGCAATACAAATGATTCAATTAAAAATATTGAAGCGAATGCAACAGCAGTAATGACTGATTCAATACGTGTTTGGCATAAAAGATTAGCTCATCAAAATATCGGGTATGTAAGAACGTGTTTGTTTAAACATAATATACAGGTACCAGACAAAGACGACACTTTTCAATGCGATGACTGTATAATTGGCAAACAATCGAGAAAGTCATTTAAAACCAGGACAAATATTTCACAAAATATAGGTGATTTAATTTATGCAGACCTGTGCGGGCCGATCCAAAAGAAATCGAAAGGCGGGTCAAGGTATTTTCTACTATGTAAAGACGATTACTGTAGATTTCGTACGGTATATTTTTTTTAACATAAAAGTGAAGTGAAAAATAAACTTAAGTTATTTATAAAAAGTTTTAAAACAGGTTCAGGTTTTAAGATAAAGGCGATTCAGACAGATAATGGTACTGAATTTTTAAATGATGATGTAACTAGAATATTTCAGACATTTGGGATACAACATCGGAAGACTCAAATTTACTCTTCTCCTCAAAATGGAAAAATCGAGAGAGAAAACAGAACAATTATGGATTCTGCGAGAACAATGATTCATGCTAATAAAATGGATTTATCATTTTGGGCTGAAGCAGTTAATACGGCAGTATACACGATAAATCTAACTGGTAAAAGTTCTGTGGAAGGTAAGTGTCCATATGAATTATTTTATAATAAAATGCCAGATATAAAACATCTGAGAGTATTTGGGACAAAAGTGTACACACATATTCCCAAAGAGAAACGTCAAAAATTGGATCCTAGAAGTGAATCAGGTATTTTCGTAGGGTACTCAATTGACAAGAAAGGATATCGTGTATATTTAGAACAAAAACGAATTATAATTGATTCTAGGGATGTCATATTTAAAAACGAATGTCACAATACTGTTGATGTATCATTATATGAAAGTGATTTAGATATTCAACACGATACTTCACAACGACCAGTAGCGGACGAGTCAGAACGTGAAGAACCACGTTACGACTTACGTGACCGGGGTCAACTACGAAAACCTGACAGATACGCCGCATGTACAGCGAAAGGTATGGAACCAATAAATTATTATGATGCGATCAATGGTGAAAACAGTCATGAATGGACAGAAGCCATGAATGACGAGTTAAATTCACTTGCTGTAAATAATACTTGGCAGTTAGTAGACAGACCGACAGACAAAAATATTTTAAATAATTCTTGGGTATACAAAGTTAAGTATGCGAGCAACGGAGATGTTGAACGTTATAAAGCTAGGCTAGTAATAAATGGATCGAGGCAGCAATACGGTATAGATTATAATGAGACATTCTCACCTGTAGTTCGTTTTGAGTCTATTAGGGCACTTTTAGCAGTTGCAGCCAAAGAAAAATTGAAATTAAAACAATTTGACATAAAGACAGCATTTTTGAATGGGGTTCTTGAGGAACTAATTTACATGTCTCAACCAGTGGGGTATGATGATAAATCAGGCCGAGTATGTAAATTAAACAAGAGTCTTTATGGATTGAAACAAAGTTCACGATGTTGGAATCAAAAATTTACAGAATTTTTATTGCGCTTTAATCTAACACAAAGCACAGCAGACCCTTGTGTATTTATAAATCATGACGGTAATGATAAGATAATATTGGGTATATATGTAGATGACGGATTAGTTATGTCAAATAGTTCATCTAAGATTCAGTCTTTATTATCAACTTTACAACAGGAATTTGAGGTCAAAAGTAATGATTTAGATTATTTTCTTGGGATACAAATAAGAAAATTGAACGATGGATCGTTAATAATTCATCAATCAAATTATGCTTTTAACATAGTTAGACGTTTTAATATGCAAGACGCAAAAGAGTTGGCGATTCCATTCGACAGGGCAACGGCATTAGAAACAGAATCAAAACCAATTGGTAAGGATGTGCCATATCGACAAGCGGTCGGATGTTTATTATTCTTATCACAAGTAACCAGACCGGACTTGAGTTATGCTGTCAGCTACGTGAGTAGATATTTATCCAATCCAACGGTAGCTCACTGGATTATGGTAAAACGAATTATTCGTTACATAAACAAAACGATTGATTTTGGATTGTACTATAAAACTGAAAATAACTCAGATTTTAGTGTCTATACAGATGCAGATTTTGCTGGAGATGTCCAGACAAGAAGGTCAACGTCAAGCAACCTTTTTATGCTAGGTTCTTCTACAATAGCATGGCAATCTCAAAGGCAATCAACAGTAAGTTTAAGTTCATGTGAGGCTGAATACATTTCTGCGGCAGAATCAGTAAAAGGGATCATTTGGTTTAAACGTTTATTACAGGAAATCACTAATAATGAATGTATTCAACCAATATAATATATAGATAATCAAAGTGCTATTCGTTTAATTAAGAATGCAGAGTTTCACAAACGAACTAAACATATTGATGTCAGACATCACTTCATTCGTGAGAAGTATGAAGATGGAGTGTTTCAACTTCAATACAAGGAGACAAAGGATGAGTTGGCAGATATCTTCACCAAACCATTGCCAAAGGAACGATTCGAGATGATCAGATCAGCTATGAATATCCACAACTGGTTTCAAGTTGGGACAATAGTTAATTAAGGAAAATATTAATTAAGGGAGAGTGTTGAGATGTAATTAATATTCTAAGATAGTTTTAATGTGATTAGTTTAGTATGTCGAGGAAGACACTATTGTATGTGAAATCTTAGAAAGTATTTTGTATGAATTGATTTAACCTAGGTTTATGATATAAATACCTTTGTATGTGGACAAGGGGACACACTCGTTCCACAGCTACTATTTTGTTAATGTGCTTGTTACTTCTGACTTATACATATATCTATATTGTATTGTTATTATTGGTTTAACTTGTGTCTATAATATTAACTCTATTATTACTCAAAGTGTTTGTTTGTTATTTCTTTTGTGTTCCACTACAATTAATCTCAACACGTCTATTCATGTTGGGGTCATCTACAATTTCATGGCAAGCTCAACGTCAAGCAACGGTTTCTCATAGTTCAACGGAATTGGAATACATTTCAACCAGTGACATAGCGAAGGGGCTAATGTGGTTTAAAAGTTTTTTACGAGAACTTACTAATAATAATATGTATGATAAACCTATATGATTTATTGATAATCAAAGTACTATTCGTTTAGTCAAAAATCCGGAATTACATCGAAAAACCAAGCACATCGATGTAAGATACCATTTCATTCCTGAGAAATATTAGGAAGGTCAATTCGAAGTTCAATACAAGAACACAGAAGAAATGTTGACAGATATGTTTACAAAAGCACTTCCAAAAGACAGATTTGGGATGATTCGATCAACCATTGGAGTATAGAAGATATCACAGTAGAATAAGTTAATTTAAGGGAATATTAATTAAGGGGGTGTATTGAATATAATTAATAATGAAATAATTAATGAGTATGTTATAAGTAATAAATCTAATATAATATTATATAAAAGTATATGTGAATATTATGGAAATCATTATGTAATATCTAAAAGTTGTTTGGTACAAAGACCAACTTCATTTGTGACCTAGAATATGCCATGTATAAGCCATAATATTAAGGTGTCGGGTACCCCTCTATTACGGATGCTGTTATAACTGTAACATACGTTGTATACGCTATTCGGAATGTTCTAGCCCGTGCATTGACATTAAATTTAGCATAAACATTTGATTTAATAGTTATTGAAAACGGTTTAGCAGAATATTATGTAAGTAAAAACGTCTAGTAAGAACATAGTTAAAGGCTCTCATATGGAACTCAACGGGATTCTAATTTTTTATATTAGTTCGTTATTAACAGAATGCTATTATGTGAGCTATAAATAAACATACTACTTTTTAACTACAAAAAAATAATAGTAACATTGTAGGTATGAACTTTATTTAGTTTCATACCTACAAACGCTTGTTTATAGTAGATTATAGGTACAGATTTTCCATAAATATTTAGCTTGTTTTTTAAAATATTAATATCGTATTAAATATTATTAATGTCTTTGTAATGTATCTATCATAACGTGACCGAACCATCTCAGCCTATTCTCACTCATTTTTTCTACAATTGATGCAACCCTTAGACTCCTTCTTATGTATTCATTTCTTATTCTATCTTCCCTAGTCTTATTATTTTCATCTCCCCTACACTCATTCTCTGTTAAGTTTTCTTACCTACTGCCCAACATTCCGACCCATATAACATTGCTGGGCTCACTACTATTTTTTTTTAAATATTAATATCGTATTAATTTACTAACGACTATCGAATCGTCGAATGGAATCAATAATGTGTTGTTGCCTTTTAATTCCAATACAGACGGTGACCTCCTGCTCAAATATACATTGCACTTCAGCAAATGTGCCACTGTAGATTCACACGATGAACATTTCTTAATCTTAATGCGAAACTCTCTTTGCAAAAAAAAAAGGAACCAAATAACAATTAAAGTTTTTGTATTTAAACTTTGTGTTAGCAATATGACCATATGACGTTTAATATTACTGTAAGTATATTTGGAAGAAACCTTGATTAAATCCCGACGAGGCCGTTTGGCAAATATTAACATTAAATCTAATAACAACAATTATTGCCAAAAAAAAATGTTTTCAAAATGCGACCTTCTCTATTGTACTATTGTTGACTGTGACATAACACTAATTATGTACACTCTAATTGTGGGGTAAACAATAATTATCTTGTAATATGCATTAAACTGTAGGTAACCAATAATTATACTTGCTGGTATATCGTCCAATGATTTTCGTTCAGTCATCACATTTTCTAGCGGTGACGCAAAAAATTTTCTTTTTTTTTAGCTTTTTTTTTTTTACTTAAAACCCCAAATATTTATTCATTGTAAAAACAACTGTCTCGTCCAAGGATGTTTCAGACGATTCTGCATCAAGGAAAGCCAGAAAAACAAAGTAAGACTAAGTCAATTTATATGCCGGTAATTTGTATAAGCAACAAGGTATTATTTTTAATTTAAATAGATTTTTAGTAGCTTTAAGTAAAAGCCATTTTATTTTTTTTTAGACCACAAAGCCGGAAAAAAAATCGACTACATTAGGTAGTCTAATATCAATTTTGCAAAAATATTCGTGTGCTTTGTTATGTAGGAAGTCAATTTTCATTTAAACATTTCAGTATCTTGTAATTTAAAAAATGCATTTTTTAAAATTAAAACCCTATTATTTTGGGAAAAATCAAAAATCTGTTTAGTATATTACCTAGTAAAGTTGCCAAAGACCATGTATATCTTTACACAATTAAAATCTGAGTAATTTTCTAAAACGTCAAAAAATCTTGACTTAAATAACAAGCCAAACCGTAAATTTAAATCCAATTTTACATGATATAATGAATAAAAACAAGTTATGCGTAGGTACAACAGACATAGGTTTCAATTAAAAATTATAACACTCAAGTGCCATTTGGAGATATTAAAAAAATATATAATAACCATTAATGTACATAGTCATATCTATTTTTTATAAATACAAACCCGTAGAGATATAATATTATTTCAGTTTTTTTTTGACAATGATCGGCATTATTAGATTTAACATGAATGAGATAGACGTAGTCTATTAAATATTTTGGGGAACCAATTTTGAAGGCAAACCGATACATTAATCGTATACTCCTTGTGTCTATTTCATTATTATACCTGCTTCCATATTTCGTATGCACATGCACTATCTATATTTGTTTAATCTGTTTTTATAATTAGTTATTTATTATTCTGTACAGTAGTACATACATTTTTCCCAAAAATAAACTCTCGATAATAATATTAGAGGAATTTTTATTTGAGCATGCATAAAAATATCATTTAAAAATTTTTTATATATACGTAAACAATTGGATATCTAATTTTGTTTTTTTTTTTCGTGTTTTGATTTATAGCTAGACCGACCATATACTTGGTCCGTTTCTCTATAGCTTTTGTTATTATTTGCCAAACGGTCTCGTCGGGATTTGAATCAAGGTTTTTTCCAAATCTACGTGCAGTAATATGACTTTTAATAAATAATATTGATAACATAATGTTAAAGACAAAAAACTTACATTGGTATTAGTTTACTTTTTTTTTTGCAGGGAGAGTTTCGCATAAAGATTAAGCAATATTCGTCTTGTGAACCTACAATGACACATTTGCTGAAATTTAATGTATATTTAAGCAGGAGGTCACCGACTGTATTGGAATTAAAAGGCAACAACACATTATTGGTTCCATTCGACGATTCGATAATCGTTAGTAAATTAATACGATATTAATATTTAAACAAAAATAGTAGTAAGCCCAGCAATGTTTTATTGGTCGGAATGTTGGGCAGTAGGTAAGAAAACTTAACAGAGAATGAGTGTAGGGGAGATGAAAATAATAAGATTAGGGAAGATAGAATAAGAAATGAATACATAAGAAGGAGTCTAAGGGTTGCATCAATTGTAGAAAAAATTAGAGAGAATAGGCTGAGATGGTTCGGTCGCGTTATGATAGATACATTAAAAAGAGATTAATAATATTTAATAAGATATTAATATTAAAAAAAAAAAGATAAATATTTATGGAATATCTGTACCTATAATCTACTATAAACAAGCGTTTGTAGGTATGAAACTAAATAAAGTTCACACCTACAATGTATATTATTATATTTTGTAATTAAAAAGTAGAATGTTTATTTATAGCACACATAATTACATTCTGTTTATAACAAACTAATATAAAAAATTAGAATCCCGTTGAGTTCCATATGAGAGCCTTTAACTATGTTCTTACTAGACGTTTTTACTTACATAATATTCTGCTAAACCGTTTTCAATAACTATTAAATCAAATGTTTATGCCAAATTTAATGTCAATGCACGGGCGGGAACATTCCGTTTTTGATTTTTGTAAAATTTCATTGTATTCATTAATGCAGTCAAATATTAACATCGCTATGAAAGGATCAAACGGAGGATGGATAAATAACGCTGAAGTGTATACGATGAAAAGAGCTTGTTCTATGTCAAAATTTTTATTGGGAAAAAGCTGGACATCGTTATCCAAAGCGTTTAAATACGACAATAACGGAGAATGTCCTATAAAACCGGTAAATCCGTAGTATATTAATCATATTTTTATTGCCAATGTAGTTTGTTTAAAATTAAGCTAAGTCAAAGCATTATATCATTATTATTATTATTGAATGAATATTATTTCTAAACTACACAGGGCGTTTATGTGTCATCCGGGTTTAACCTTGACGATATCAACGATAACGGTTTTCCGAAACAGTATTTTTACGGAGAATATAAATTCACAATAAAATATGCAAACGACTTGAATAAAATGCTGGGATGTCAAGTCATTGTTGTAGATATTCTTCGTCCGTGGGAAACATAACTTCTAGTAGGTATGAGCGCATAACCCAGTGTGATAGTTTTGCTAACAAAGCATTTAGAAATAATTATAATAGAATGTTAATAATACAACGTCTGCACTATAATTATAGTGGTCTGTATAACTGTACAATATAAATGTTTTTTTTTTTTACATTACCTTAATCTTCCTCTTCTCCGAGGGTATCAACAACCACAATCAAATGACTGCCTAAGACTCTTAGAAAAAGACGATAGTTAACATGTTTGATGTTCCATCTAAGTTTTTTTTTTATTATATAATTATTATGTTATTCTAATTTTATCTCGTTTAACTCTCGGGTGCATAAATACAGCCAACCGCATTTATCGAAATTGCAGTGTCCTACTGCATAAAATAAATCCTGGAACACAGAGCTAGATTATGCGGGATGGGGTGGTGCTAATAGAGCTCTAGCCTTTTTTTTTTTAGTTATTTAATAATTTAGGTACAATTTAAGGGTCAAACTAGGTGGTGTTGCCTTTTTGAATTTGTAAGAGCATTATTTATCAATAATAATAATAGAAGTATTCTTAGATTTTTGAAAACTATAAATAACGATAGTAACGAAGAAAAAGCTGATGTAAGCAAGAGATTAATTAATTTTTAATTAAAATAATTGAAATTTAAAAAGAAAAATGACGTTCATTACTTTAAAAGTATGCTGTGATTAGAAAAAAAACAACAAAATGCTACACACTAACAGCGAGAAGATAGATATTTGTCTACGGTTTAATATAAGATAATAGACAAGTAGATCGGATTTCATACCCACGCGGTATAATGATTTGAACTTGAAAAAAGTCTGTGTATTACAATATCTTATAAACGCTTAATTTTCAATTCTCTCTTAAACTTTAAGAGCTAGAAAGCAGATTCAAAGCTCTTTAAAAATAGCTTGTCAGAAGATGACAAATGTGAATTAAAACAATTTTTTAAGCTCTTATATTAAAAAAAAATTGTTAGTTTTGCTACATTTTCATAGCTTACATCTTTGAAACCGATGAAAGGATTTTATTGTTTAAGGTCTTTGTACTACTGATCCTACGTAAGTACTTAAACCTATCAACCTCGCACACTGCACCATCACCCATCTGCATTACCCATCTTGCCCTATAACTTTCCCCAAAATCAAACACGATTGACTCCGTTTTACTCCTACTAATCCTCAGTCCTTACCTCTCTGGGAACTCTATCACACGCCTTTTATAAATCTATAAATACCATACACAGTTTTCTTCCCCCCCCCCTCTGTACTTTTCCACAATTTGCCTCATAAAAAATATTGGTTCCATAGTTGATTTCCATGGCATGAACCCAAATTGATTTTTCTTTTCTATCACCTTTTCCCAAAACTTTCATACTATATATAGTAGTAAAAACAATTATATAAAAAATATTTGTGGTCCTTCCCAGGCCAATTAACTATTTAAAAATTAAAATATCAAAAAAAAAAAATTGTTTTAGACTACTCTAATATAATTATTACACAAATTTTTATCTTATTAATTTAAACGGCAACGACTATATTTTGTATCCGTCAATTAAGTAATTTATTGTGTGTTAACGGAGCTAGAAAAAAATATGAAATTACTGGTAATAGTATTGAGTTGTTAAAATAATGATTTAACTATTACTATAAGTGTTTTATAAATATACAGATATATAATGAACTATATAAAAAAGTTGATTACATAATATATCTGCGTATATCAATGAACAAAAATACCAATGTATATCAGGTGGCATAAATTCTTTTTCCTGAAATTTTCAGTTCCTATTTGGTTGCTGAGCTGGTTGTAAAAATTCACATTGATTTAATTCTAAAAAATAAGTTTAATAATTTATAATTTATCGCTTATGTTAAGTAAAGTTTTAGTACTAAATTTCTATTCATTATGTATTATAACGCAAATATTAAATATATTTGAATAGGTAATGGGGTGTACATAAGTACCAAATAATTATTTTTTTGTAAACTATATTATAATTAGTAAAAGGAATTTATTTAAACTCACTATTCTAGTTTGTTCCATGGAATATTACTAAGTTCAGTTTCATTATTTGGAAATTCATTGTCACCCTACAGATATACATTTTATTATTATTTTACTACTTATAATGTATAAGCCGGTATTGATAACAATTATATCAATCATTAGACTCCGCGGTTCCCGTTGTTGCTTATAAGCTCTGTAGCGTTTTCAGTACAAAAAATATATGTTAAAAGTAAAAAGAACTAAGTTATATTTTACAGTAAATGGTACCTATCTCCAACAAAAGTCTTACAGTGAAAAAAGGCCAAGTTCTAGAGTCTAGACCAGCTCCCAAAAAAGTCAGCCCATCAAAGTAGTGATATCTACATTGTGGCCAAGTCTGCAATTTCTTTAGTTCATAACCTCACTTCACTCCTACTTGGATGAGCAACACTACTCGTTTATTTGTATTGCTTAACACTTGGCCAGTTTCTGAATGAAGCATAAAACATCTTACTTAGAAGTTACGTGGGTGATAGGATGGAGACAACTCGGAAGAAAAGAAAAAAAGTTCAGATCACCTAAGTGGCTAAGTCTGTTATATGCCTCATATAGAAAGGTCATGTTTCATTCAGAAACAAGGATGAAACCGATGAAAGTATTTTGTTATTTAAGGTCTTATCAGAATCAACTTGGTATACAGAAGTGCAGTGAAGAGTTCCAGAACTCTGTCTGATAAAGTTCAATCACTACAGAACTTTAAAGTTGTACATCATAAAAACACACTCTCCCGTCCTAATTTTTCATACTAATAGAATTTATTGCTTTCTAAATAATAATGGATATATATATATATAAAGGAATTCTCCAATAACTAAAAATCAAGAAAGTCTACACGACGACTCCGACTTGGCATACTATTAGCCACTCCAATGAGTTCAATATATAGAATATGTAAATATACAAAGATTACATAACTTACAAACATGATGAAATATGAAACGTTAAAAGTATAAAATTGCATACAATTGCAATATAATATACATTTAAAGGTAAAATAAAACGACATTAAGTTGGTATAAAAATAATAGTAAACAGATAAAATATTTGACCATAACGTCAAGTACTGTAAAACCGGGTTACTTGTGACGTAGAGTTATATCATTTTCAATATGTTAAGCTAATTTATTATTATTACACCAAACAAAAATATCAGATAAATCGTTTTATCTTTTGATTTAGTCTTTATATTTTTTAATCTACATTTCAGCTGTTTCTTCTTACTGCGTGTTGTTGTGTTGTGCTAAGTATTTATCACCAATGATGTTGCAGTTGAGGCAATTTGTTTTACAGATAACTGAAATAGGAACAAAAACTCCTTTCTTACGGAAATAGAATACATTTAACAAAAATATACGTTTTTTTATAAAGCCGCCTTCACTAAGAAAGTATTGAACTCATTGAAGTGGCTAGTAGTATGCCAAGTCGGAGTCGTCGTGTAGACTTTCTTTTTAGATGTCGTGTAGATTTTAAATAATTATTGAACAATAACTTAAAATATATATATTTTTTTTAAGTATGAAAAATTAGGACGGGAAAGTGTGTTTTTATGATATACAACTTTAAAGTTCTGAAACTCTTCACTGCACTTCTACATGCTAAATTGCATCTAATAAGACCTTAAACAATAAAATCCTTTTATCGGTTTCAAAGATGTAAGCTATGAAAATGTAGCAAAACTAACAATTTTTTTGTAATATAAGAGCTTAAATAATTGTTTTAATTCACATTTATCATCTTCTGACAAGCTATTTTTAAAGAGCTTTGAATCTGCTTTCTATCTCTTAAAGTTTAAGAGAGAATTGAAAATTAAGCGTTAATAAGATATTGTAATACACAGACTTTTTTCAAGTTCAAATCATTATACCGCGTGGGTATGAAATCCGATCTACTTGTCTATTATCTTATATTAAACCGTAGACAAATATCTTACTTCTCGCTGTTAGTGTGTAGCATTTTGTTATTTTTTTCTAATCACAACATATTTTTAAAGTTATGAGCGTCATTTTTTTTTAAATTTCAATTACTTTATTAAAAATGAATTAATCTCTTGCTTACATCAGCTTTTTCTTCGTTATTATCGTTATTTATAGTTTTCAAAAATCTAAGAATACTTCTATTATTATTATTGATAAATAATGCTCTTATAAATTCAAAAAGGCCACACCTCCTAGTTTGACCCTTAAATTGTACCTATATTATTAAATAGCTAAACAAAAAAAAAGGCTATAGCTCTATTAGCACCACCCCATCCCGAATAATCTAGCTCTGTACTCCAAGATTTATTTTAGGCAGTAGGACACTGCAGTTTTAATAAATACGGTTGGCTGTATTTATGCACCCGAGAGTTAAACAAGATAAAATTAAAATAACATGATAATTATACAATAAAAAAAACTTAGATGGGACATAATTCCAGGACATAATATTAGTTATGACTTATGTTATAAATGCGTGGAGATGTATCAATCAAACATGTTAACTATCGCCTTTTTCTAAGAGTCTTAGGACGTAATTTGATTGTAGTTGTTGATACCCTCGGAGAAGAGGAAGATTAAGGTAATGTAAAAAAAAAAAAACATTTATATTAAACAGTTATACACAACACTAAATATAGTGCAGACGTTGTATTATTAACATTGTATTATAATTATTTCTAAATGCTTTGTTAGCAAAACTATTACACTGAGTTATGCGCTTGCACCTACTAGAAGTTATGTTTCCCACGGACGAACAATATCTGCAACAATGACTTGACATCCCAGCATTTTATTCAAGTCGTTTGTATATTTTATTGTGATTTTATATTCTCCGTAAAAATACTTTTTCGGAAAACCGTTATCGTTGATATCGTCAACGTTAAACCCGGACGACACATAAACGCCCTGTGTAGTTTAGAAATAATATTCGTTCAATAATAATATTAATAATACAATGCTTTGACTTAGC